CGGGGGCGATCTGCCCCAGTGGTTCCCCACCTCAGTCCTGGGGCCAGCGTCAGGTTCCGAGTGAACCGAGGCGTTCGTTCTTTTTCTCATGTTCAAATTGGCATTCGTAGTCTGAAAAGGGATATTGAAAATGACTTCGGTTATGTCGTTTTATGCAGGCCTGTACAAACTTAAACTCAAGTCAGTCACTTGCATAAAATAAACCTTTATTAATACCCAAGAGCTATTCCGCCTGAGGTAAAAGCTTGAAAATGCCTATACAGGGACCAGCAGATGGCAAAATGGTCACATTGTGGGACTTCTATGTAGCCGACCGTGTTCGAGTCCCGGACCCAGTGGCTTAAACTCACACAGGGTACATGTGTGTGCGTGCCCAATATCCCAGAAGGAGAATGGAGAAGGGATTGCCGTGTGGCCATCCCCCATTGGGGGTGACTTCTTACTTTCTGTCTCTCTAGCGAGTGCATGTACCCTACAGCAAAAATCTCTTTAAAGAAAGCCTATCTGAAAAATAATGCATATATGTGAACCTGAATCAAAAATAGTTTATTTCAGAATATGATCCAGTCTTATCACTGAACTTTAAATATATTGAAAGGGGAACCAGCAGTTAGCGTAATGGCTATGTCGCTGGACTCCCACATAGTGAACCACGGTTCATGTCCCGGACCCGGTGGCTGAAAACTCACGCCGGGTGCATGTGCGTGCGTGCCCAAGATCCCGAGAGGAGAATGGAGGAGAAGGGATTGTGGCGTGGCCATCCCCCCTGGGGGGCGATTTCTCGCTTTCTGTCTCTATGTCTCTCTCTGTCTGTCTGGCGAGCTCACACGTCCTATAGCAAAAAAAAACCTCCTCCCCCCCAAAAAAAAGAAATATATTGAAAGAAGATTAAGTTTAGGAAATAAACTAAGGTTATATTTGATTTTATCTTAAGAGTTCATGAATAGCAATATAAATACTGTTCATTTTTATTGCAAATAATTTTCCTCAATATGCCACATACATTTCAGAGTTTTGTATATGTGCTTCATAAACAGTAAGAACTATATCTAGTCTTGTGCATAGAATAATAATAACTATTCCATATGTGTATGACATTCCTTCAAAAGACTCCAAAAACTTCAATTGCCAAGTCACTGGAATTTATTTTCATAAAAGGGTCTTAGCTAGGCAGTCACACGCATTATCATAAAACCTAAAAACCTGAGACATTGTAGTTTTCACCACAATTAATAGTGAAAATACAGAAGAAATTTTTAATAAAAGGGTATATTAGACACATAACAGCATCACAAATAGTTGCCTAAAACTGATTTCAAACCATTAACTGATAGAGTGATTAAATCACGTGATTCACTGTTTTCCATCTGATTATTTGTTGTCGATAAGACTGTATCCGAATACAGCTATGTGTTAAACTGTTAAAATTAATTTCACTACGATGGAGACAGGCACCATAAATAACTAGCAACCATAGGTCGTCGGGGCCGGTGAGAGCACAGCTGCTCAGATGCTCCCCAAGTGGCGAGTCTGGCTCTAGAGTTGTCTGTGATTTCTTGCACTATTTCATCCGCCTTACCTGTGTTCTTTCTAAGTTAAGGCTATACCGTGGCTACTCCCTTACCTTCTCCTAGCGTCGTTTTCTGAAGTCAAGGACAGGTGAAGAGATGACAAAGTCGAGGGGACAGGGAGGGAAAAGACATCTCAAGGCGGGGGGTGAGAAGGGGCCAGGCTGCGAGGACAGTTCGCAGAGAACACAGAGTGGCCCAGTCACGCACGACTAAGGGAGAGCTCACTTTAGAGAAAAGGTTTATTCTCTAAGTTTTCAGTACCACACTCATCCAGCGTGTTTAAGATGTTCAATCCGTGTCTCACATTCTTGTGAATTATGACTTCAAGGTCACCGAGTAGAGAGAGAAAAGCAGCCTCACAAAACAGCCGGAGCAGACTCTGAGAGGTGGAGAAAGCATTATTCATGTCAGCCCGGAGTATTCTTCTGAGCAGGCTGCAGGGGAACTCATGAGAAGTTGTAAGCTAACATATGGCACCTAATTTCGGTGGAGACCATTGAAACCAACTGACATCCACCTCGGAGCTGAAGACCTGTTATGTACCCTCCACTGTTCCTCTTCAGAGCACGTTATAAAACCACCCAATTAATCCTCAAGTTTTGAATCTTCTTGTACATAAATGGATAATAAATCATTGATCACTATTAATTCTAAAATGTTATGTACCTGGTGAAGAACATAAAGGATGAGCCTTCATTTAAAAAGCACATACAGGCCAAGCATCCCTAATACGAAAATTCAAAATCTGAAAGTTCCCAAGTCTGAAAGCTTGTTTACACCGACCTGATGCTACAAGTGGAAAGTTCCACCTCTGCCCCGTGTGATGGGTGGTAACCAAAATGCTGCAGTATAAAAATACTGTATAAAATGATCTTCAGGCTGTGCGCATCAGGTACACGTAAAACATGAATCCGTGTTGTGTTTAGTCTTGGGTTCCGTACCCCAGACAGCTTGTTATGGAGAGGCACATATTCCAAAATCAAGGAAAAAAAATTTCACAACGAAAAACACTTCCGGTCCCAAGCATCTTTGGTAAGGAATACTCATCCTGTCTTATCACTGTCCAGATAATGTACACACACAAGATAAAATAAAAAATATAGAGTAAAATATATTCAAGGCCACACTGTGATGAAATGCTAACTATCCTGGGAAAATAAGGGAAGACCGTAAAAAAAGATGAATTGGACCGTAAAGAAATATTAATATATATATATTCAAATATAATCTGATAGTTGCATATTCTCTTCTGCCAACAGTTAGGCTACTCCTAACATTTAGAAACCCATATTTTTTTTTTAATACCAAATTCTAAGGATTTGAAACCTCTATTTCCAGCTCAAATGGAGTAATTTACACTCCTGCCTGGAATGAGAAAAAAGAAACATAGAATCCTAATCACTGAGAACTGAGAGAGAAGAATCAAATCTGAGTTTCCACGCTATGGTGTGGGAAAGAGGAACCGGAAAAAAACAGCCAAGTCCATGAACTGAGGGGCTGAAGCTGAGGCCTGGGAGACCCTGCAGCTAGAATTCCCAGGGCAAAGTACCTGAGATGAGAATGCTGAACAAAAGCAGAACTTCCCAACTCTGAGGAGTCCCCACTGAGTTGGCTAAGGGAATGCGAGGCAATCCCCCAGGGTGAAAAGGAAGCACCTGAAAGGTTTAGAGGAAGCCATATCTGATCTCACAGAGCCAGGGACAGGGCATGCCCCACCCACTAGACTGGGGAGTGTCTATACCCACAGATGGCCTTGTGACTTTCTTTGGCCAATAGATGTGGTAAAATGATGGTGTGTCATTTCCACATCTTAGCCTCAAGAGCTGGCTTGCTTAGTGATTAGGAAAATGAATCCCTTAAAAATGATTCATTCTTTCATTCTCTGTCTTGAAAAAGGGTTACCACCTCTATGTGATCAGGCCCGGGGCCAGCCTGCTGGAGGACAAGAGAGCATTTGCAGCAGAGTTCGACACCCCAGGGAGGCCAGGTAGCTCACCCAGGGCTCGCTGACACTCAGCACGGGAGTCTGTCCCAGGTGAGAGAAGATGAACTTCCTGGGGAGCCAGTTAACCCACGGACTTGAGCGCAGGAGAAGGAACACTGTGTGTCTCAGAACTGGACTGCACGTGCCTTCGTCCTGCAGCAGGACTGCAGCAGTAGCTAAGGTAGCCCACGGAGAGGGGATGGAGGGTCAAACCTCCTGTGAAGAGAAGCTCCTCAGACATACTAGAATAAGGAAACAGTGGGGCCGCCCAGGACTCACGGAGGACCTTTAGGGGGCACTGTTGCCTAACTGCACAGGCTAGCTGAAGGCCCAAGATCTCACTCTCTGTAATCCCATTCTTATGGTGATCAACTTACTCTGTTCACTTGTTAAGGAAAATAAGAACAGAATAATAAGAAAATAAGAACAGAAAGGTATGATTGGTTGGAAGTCACAAAGAGAGAGCCGACAAGGTCTGTTCTGTCTCGGTGAATGGCCTCTCTACGCTTAGACATGGAGAAGACCTTAAAGAACTTAAGAAACTGCACCATCTGTTTAAGTCAAATATTTGGAATAATAAAGCATATTGTTAAGAAAAATTACTCGAGATTTGGACATCAGAGAGGAGTCGCAACAGAGCAAGCTCAACCAATGTTTAACAAGCTCAAGCAATGATTACATGTCTAGGAAAAGTGATCTGAGTTTGATCTTGCTATTTAACGTCTTATTACAGCTCAGGCACTGCGAGGTGCCCGTGTTACTGTGTAGGTTCCTGCCTAGTTGAACAGATCGCCAAAGGTTATGCCTTTATTGCTTTGTAGGGTATCAAGTACCTCTGTATCTAACATTATCTAATGTAACAATTTTCCTCTAATATTCCTTTTAAAAAAAGTTTGTAAATAGCAATTCTTCAAAAATATTTTAAACCAGTTTTACACTTTTAAAAAGTTTTAATTACTTTATTTTATTAGTTCCTCCTTGCCAAGTCTTCACACACTTCTCATGTAGCCAGAATTATGGGTATGCATGTGTGCAAACTAGAAAGTACAATAAGATGACCCCAGGATTTGAACCCAGGACCTTCTTACCTGGATTCAGCATCATGGAACATTACGTTACCATAGTGCCATCATGGCTGACCCGTGGTTCTCTCATTAATGGATGAATTGGGAAAATATTTGACAGATAATCCATTCTATATTTGTATGAGTCATGTTTTTGACAGTTTGAAAAATATAGTCTGACAACATGTGCTACTGTACTAGTTAGAAATATCAAAGAAATAAAAGCTTAGACTTAAAATTCCTTGGAAGAAAAAAAGGAGAGCCCAGGCAGAAGAAACAGGATCAGTCTAAAGTGATTAGGAGAATGAATCAATGATGAATCAAGAGACTTCATGAGACTGAAGGGAGCAGGAGAAACAGTGCCACTCAGGTCACATCTTTCTATTTCCCCCTTTAGAAGTGTTACAGTACTAAAGTATAAAGACTGTGTTGAGACCAGCAGTTGGTGTAATGGCTGTGTCGCTGGACTCCCATGTAGTCGACCATGGTTTG